GCCCCCGAATCCTTCATTCCGGTCCCCACTGGGTCAAACTCTGACCACGGCGATGTGGCTTATTTGTCCATGGACCAAAGAGGATTGATGGGAATCCTGTTTGCATGATATACAGCCCAGTGGATCCCAGTTACCACTATATTAGGAACCAGTGATTCTAGGTCTATGGTTTTAGTCTGTGGAGCCACTGGTTACCAGCTATAGTGGTAACTGGATGCCCTGGGCAGGATATGGATTCTACATGTTCCTAGGTGCTGCTGCATCATAGTCCACCTTGTTCTTTGTTCAGGGCTTTGGCTTCGATTCTCCCACAGTTTCAGAACATTTGGAGGTGCCACTCTCTGAGGTTTCTGGTCGACATGGGGCAAAAGTCGTTGAAATCATGACTTGCTCCCCTGTAGTTTCGAGGCGTATTTTACAGTAGTTTCGAGAAGTATAGATGGCAACTGGCACCCTACATGTCGACATGAGATGGGGGTCCATATCACCTTTCTTGGGGCCCAAACGCGCCATCGAACCTTTGAAACCGATAGGTCTCCGAAAGCGGATGCCCCGGGTGGCCCTAAGGGACCTCGAAAGTGAACCACTGAGCAGAACCAGACAGCAGACACCTCTCAAAAGACATGTAGACATCCATGACGGGTGTGACCGGTCTATACATGCCCAGACACGACCTGTTTTGGGATTAGAACTCAGTGGATCCCAGTTACCACGAGTACTAAGGAACCAGGGGTTCATTCGGTCGAACTGGTTTTTGTTGAACTGGAACCACTGGGACTCCCAGCGACATCGTGGGCACTGCCTGGATGCCCTGGGAAGATATATATATACCCAGAAAGACCCCAGGTCAACCACTCCTGGCCTTTTCTCAGCGCCTTTTCCAGACATCGGACCCACAGTGTCCTCGAGTACAAAGCCCTAGCGAAGCATTGGTTGGGATCTGCCAAAAAGGGCACGTGATGTTGTCCCTTCTGGGAGCAGGTCTGCTCCACCCGATTTCAACCCATCTAGTCAGTATCCTCCCAACGTCACACCCACACCACACCCAAGAGAAAACACCAGAAACAAAAAGCACACCGCCCGCCCCCCCAGCTCTCACACCGGCTGTTCTTGGCTGGTCAGACCCTTTCCTCCCCTCCGGAGGTCTTCACTCGGCGCCGCACCTGCGCTGTGACGTCGCCCCTCTTCTGGGCCTTCCTGGACCTCTCCGCCAGCTGGGCACGTGTGGGCGGAGCCGGACCTGAGCTCCACGAACACTTCACGCGAGCGGCGAGTGCGGCGGTGGAGGGGCTGAGCTTTTGGCTGCTGGTGTGTCCCATCTTGGTGGAGTATGTCCCCTGGCCCGTTCGCGCATGGTTCGAGCGCGCGCTGGTGCGCGAAGGAGAGGCGCGCGGGCGAGCGAACCACAGGCCACAAAGGCGAGGGTTCTGCGTTTAGGCCGTTGAAGCAGTGGAGCAATGGGTTCGCCTGGCCGCTGGCCGGCGAGAAACAGCATGACGAGCCCCAACGTAACTCGCGCTGTGTTTGGTTTCGTTGTACTGGCAATGATTAGCCATTTATTATTAGCTGATATTAGTAGTTAGCTCAGTTAGCTCTGTTTTTTCATCGCTAGACATCCTTGTGCGGAGTTGTGGGCGAGGTCTCGTGTTGTTCAAGGCATGTTTTGTGCAAGAACCCTGATAGCAACGATGTGGAATTCTGAGCAGTAGATAGCAGTAGTGTTTCTTGTGTCCTGACATGATCATCTTCTGCGATCAATAGATGACCACCTTGAGATCCCTGGGGAAATCCCAATGTAGACCTTCGATAAATAAAACTCTTCCATTTGGATTGAAGCGCCTCTTCATCATGGGGAGTTTAGTGTAATCAGCGGTCACTTCCCCAACGGTTTGCTCTTGCCAGTCCCTTGTCTTTATGAACTCCCTAGTCGGGGTTCCCCTGGGTGCAGTCTCCAGAGAGTTCTGGACCAACCTAACCCAACCAATTAACATCGTACTTGCATTTGCTCAAGGTGATTTGTCGTTTTCCTTATGGGTGAATCCTCTTCCGCGGAACGAATATGAATGAACACATTTTCCCGGCTTCTTTAGCAAATCCAAGTCAATCAACCAACCTGCACCAACCACCCGGCCGTGTTCGCGCTCAGCTCGCCCTGCGATGCCCCTGCGTTGCTGAGGTGGTGTATCTCTCCCGTCGATTTTGCCGTCAAGCCACCTCTCCTATGCGGGAGGCGACGGGTCCGGAGACATTCACCCAGTGTTGCTGGATGAACCCGTATCGGAACCCCTTGAAAACGAGAGTGGCCCCAAGAGGAATGCATGGAAAGCGCACGAATTTCAGAAAGCATCCTGCAGTGTTCTTGTGCATGTTCCTCTTGCTGTGGAGGCTGTCCTTGCTGGTGTTGGTGTGGCTGGATGATTATTTAGCATCTGACATTGTCAGACGCTGTTGTCATTGAATGCTGATCTTGCTGGGTGTTCTGGGCACGAGCACGGAAACATCATTGAACTTTCTCCATCGACTTGCGAGAAGTTCTAGGAATCCATGCGTGTAATCAGACAGGTCTTAAGGAAGTGAAGCAAGTGGGTCGCCCGACTGATGGCAGGATATGTGTGGCAGGTGCCAAGAGCCCGTTCTGACAGGCCTTCTGCAATCTCGGGGTGCTTATCATGGTCTTGCCTCTTCAAGCCCTATTGTTTGGCTGCTATTGGGTGCTCTTCAGGCTTAACTTGCCACGGCTGGTCGCATGGCGATCGGATGGATTCCGGGTTGTCCACTCAATGATTCACTCACTGCTGGGTCGCACAAATAAGCTGTTTGTTCTTCGAGTCGAACGGAAAGGGATTGGACTGGTCGTTCTTTTTTATGTGCAGGGTTCTGGCATTCTGGCTTGGGGGTTGCTCGGATATACTCTATATATAAATGTTAAGAACCCCGTTTGGAGGTGTCCAATTGAATGGAATCCCGCAAAAGCTTCACTTTTGGGATTTGGACGTGGACCCATTCAATCTAATCGCATTCATTGTCATGGAACGATGGCAAGCCCAAACAGCATGTATAAGGGATGTGACATAAGCATCAGCGCCACAGACGACGAGACACCCTGCTGCCATGCTGATGGGAAAGCCTGCATTATCTGTGAGTCGTGGCACCCGGAGCCCGTTTCACTCGGAAACCTGGTCGGTTGACCTTCACAGTCCCTAGGGCTCCAACATGCTCCAACCAGATCCTCAGGTTCGGTGGTTAGACCCCCCTGGCACCCACCCCTGTCCCATCTTCTCTTCTGTTCATTGTCCCTCGGAAAAAAGGAACGGTCGGTTCTCAGGTGCCATGACCGGATCGTGATTGGTCCGATGCCGAGAAACCACTGCGACCAGCTTCAGACCGCACACAAACCCTAGGATCCAGTCGTACCTTCTCAGGTACGGTGATTGGAGACACTGTTATGTAGGTTTGGAGGGTCCAAGTACCCTCTGAGAAGGTACGACTGGATCCCTAGGGAAAGAAGAAAGAGCCGCCACTGAGTTTGGGTGGTGTATAGATGTTGATCGACACCCCTGACTTATGATGTATGTTCATGTATTTTCCCTCCATTGACCACCGGAACTCCAGGAGGAGCTGACCCACTGCGTTGTTTGATGTTTTTGTGCCGTTGCTGTGTTCCTCGAGGTCATCTCTGGAGTCTTCGCCGGAGAGATGCTGCTGGTGACTGCCATCTCCTCCTTCATCAAGGTCGGATGTCTCTGAAAAAGATCGCCGGGATGGGAAGTGTCCTTGCACCATGAGACCACGGCCGGTGCTTAGGGAACTCGCCCCATGGAAGACCTCCCAAAGCCAGGCCGAAGGAGGTTCTAGGACCTAGGCATCATGTGTGGGCTGGGGTGTCCTCCGGAAAGGACACCCCCAAATTGATGGTGTCAGTGCATAGCCTCGGTTTCAATGGATCAAAAGTCTGAATGCAGTCTTTAGACTGCCCATTCTGGGTGAGCATCCCCAACGGCCAAGGTCAAGGCGGCCAAGGCGGCCAAGGCCAGCTCCGCGTCCAACGGTGAGAGCACGTCAAACATTTAAAACCAGGACACACTGTCGGGGTGGTGAATGGACACTCTTTTGCCTCTAAGGAGCTACCAACGGAAGCCCTTTAGGGTGTCCATGGTATGATATAAGATGCCGTGTTCCGCCATGGTCATCCAAAGGCCGGTTGGACGGTGCCACCAGTACCGGACAACTGCTGCTCGGACACCAGGCAAGGCTGCTGGGAGCCAGGCAAGGGCCGGCTTCCAGCGCACGTCATCCATCGTCACAGCTACCTTAGCACGTTGGAGCTCCGCCTTTTTGTCAACGCATCAGGTGCAGCAAGCCCGGCAAAGGACCAAGTAGACAGAGCCTGAAACCATGGGTTTAGCGGAACTTGGTATTCGCAAAAGGATGTGTACGCCTCTTTTTCCCATGGAGGGTTTATGCTAGTCAGCAGGGGCCTGGTGCAACTGGATTTGGTGCGCCCTTTTCCTTGCAAAGTCGAGGGTTTTGCACCTTGAGACGCTGCACTTTGTTTGTCGCAGGCACTAGTCCAAATGTCAAACTCACCTTTTTATAAGACGCGGTGCAGGGTCCAGCCACATCCCTTTGAGAGGAGATCCCTGAAACTTTTAGAGCCTAGACGGCGAGGCATTCCGCCGCTTGGCCAAGCCAAGCTCGCGAAGAACGCCACCGACCGAGCTCCGCAGCGAAGAAGCCCCGGACCGATCGACTGCGGTCGTCCACACGTGGCAAGTGTCGTGCACGAGTGGCGGGTGGCATGGAGTGGGGGCGTTTTTTTCCGACCATGAGAAACCATCTTGAGAATCGTCGAGCGCCTAGTTCTCCTGGTAGGTCGACCTATCATTTGGATCCGTGGTCGTAGCGGCTTCGGGATCGACCCTGCTGGCACCTACATGTCCTGAGTGTCTACACCTCACCGTGAGAAGGCTTGAGCTGAGCGACCCACTGGCCTTATCAAGGTCCGGGAGTCGACGGAGTTCTGGCTGGCGGGCGTGATTCTAGGCCCGTTCCGCGGCGCGCGCTCCGCGCGGAGCTCCGAGACCATGAAGCGGTCCGTGGGAAGTGGCGATGGGTCGGCTTGGTTCGGGTCGCCGTGGGCGTTTGGGTCGCCGTGGGTTTGCTTTTGGGATGGGATTGGTGTGGTTTCATTTCCAGGACCAAGGTTGCATGGATTGGTTCAACGGGGGCGTGTGACGTATACAATGGTTTTGGGTGCAATTGCGAAGGTGGGAGGCTAGGTGAAAGCTGCTCGGACGAATGAAGTGTTGAATAGGAGATTAAATTCAAGGTCTGCCTGAACATGCTGAAAGAAAGGGTTGCCAATCTAGGTGATTTGAGGGGTGCTGAAATACTGCTGGTAATGCAAGTCAGACAAGTTGCATTTCCGGAGACGCCAAACCAATAGGCGTTGACTGGTCTATGTCTATGTTCATTCTTCCAGCACATCGAATTCGGCCACTTTGACCTAGCTCCCGCGGACGGGTCTTCCCGCTAGGTCTGGTGGTTTACAACAACATGCCCGGCCTGGACGTGCGTTTTCCACCGGCGACTTGACGAGCCAGCAGGTGGACTTTGCCGTTCCGGGACGGGTTCGGAACTTCAACGGCTGGTTGACACATACAGCCTTGATGCCGAAAAGCACGGCTACTGATGGGAAAATGATGGGAACATGATGATCCTTTATATAAGTATACATTCTTTAACTGTGTGGTTGCATGTTGCTACCAAAGGATTTGTAGGGGTGGTCATGCCAGAGGTGTGCCAGTGTTTCTTATTGTATGCGCCATTTTCTTCACCAGGTGGTCGCTGGTGAAGGCACCCACATAAGATGCAGATGGTCAACGTCAGAGGTCACTGCGGTTGCTTAAGGTGATTTCTTATTTTCCCTATATGGGTGAATCCACTTCCGGCCAATATGTTTTTCGCGGTTCCTGGACAGCAAATCCAAGGGCTTGGCAAGCGGAGCTGCGTGGTGTGGTGTGGCTCGGGCAGGGCAAACCCGAAGCTGGAGACAGCTTCTTAAACAAATTATAGGCTGTCCTACAAGCCCATTTGACTCAGGTCGGGGTCCTTTTGGGCATTGCTGGTGACATTGTTTGATAGGACATGTATATTATGTCACGGGTGCTATGTCGCATGCGATGGCCCTCCTAGGGTTTTTTGGTTGCTCTTGTTTCTTCAAATTGGTGCTCGCACCTGCGCTAAATTAGTTGTCGGCACATGTCAGCACCTGGGATGTCAGGGTGGTCAGCACGCCTCCGAGGTGGTCTTCAAGAAGATCAAGAATGAACCGTTGGTGCTGGAAGATCTTCGCCAGGTCCACCCTGCCTCTCAGCTCTCAGCAGCTCTCAGCGGAGAAAAAACCATCACACCCTCACGCTGCCACACGATTGTCCTCACTCCCCTCGAACGCCACAAAAAGGGTCGAACATGTTGGGAGTTTCGGGTTGGTGCGCAGACATCGTCGACGTCATTCCAGACAGGTCCGGCGCCAGCAGAGGAATTTCTTTGTTCCTATCAGCTCAGTGACCAAGGTCGAAATGTTAGACTAGCTGCTATAGCTAATTATCAGTAGGTATGAACACATTTCACGCCTTTGTAGATGAAGCTCGTCTTCGAAAGGTCCAGGTTTTCATGTTTGTGCGCCGCTGAGGATACGTATTTGTCCTTGAGGTCCTTGCTCTCTTGGGAGCCTGAGGAAGAGCTCGATGAGGAGGAGGGATTTTGTGGTCCAAGTTGGAAGCGGCTCCAAGAGGAGTGGCATGACAAAGTACTTGTAGCCCGAGGGCAGTTCCAATAGGGCATACTCCGTCATGAGTCATGACGAACTTCCATGATTTCGATCACGATCTTGGCGCCCAGACAGGCAAACCAGAGAATTACTCCTTGACGAACATGCGCTAACAATGGGCTTCTTCTCATGACTGCGTATGCTTTCCGTCCGGTCGAACGAAAACGCCGGGAGGATGGATCATGTGACCCCTAGGCCTCCAAGTACCTTCTGAGAAGGTGGTTGGGGTGGGTGCCAGGAAGGTCCAGTCATACCTAACCTGAAGAGGTACGACCGGAGGTGTAGGGGACGTGATGGATCCATTTCACGCTTTGAGCGTTCCTGCTGTCCCGGCAACGGTGATCTGAAGGGGTTGCACATGTTGCACCAATTGAGCATCTTTGACCATGAAAACTGAAGGGTGGAATCTTAAAGGCATTAAAACATCATAAAACCCTCAACTGAAGAAGAACCAACAACTGAATTCAGCATGTCATCAACTTGAATCAACTTGTAAAGACGGGATGACATTGCTTTTCACCATCCTGTGCCATTGCATTCGATCACTACGTCGTTTTCACCACCACCCCACCGGACAGGTTCCGGACGTCTGCACACGCACCGGACGAGCGGGAGGAGCGGAATGCCATCTTCGAGAACACCTTCTGCTTGGATTTTGCCCCTCAAAGGACGACGGGTGGACGGACGGACGGACGGGCACGCAACGCACGCACGACGCGCGCGGTGTGGCGCGCCACACCGTAACACGTGGTTTACGCGTTGAAAAGAGCGTCGAGGTCTGGGTACGTAGATGTCTGGAAAGGAGGTCGACTCGGTTGAACCTGAAGAAGGGGGACCAAAAAAAAGGAACACGCAAACAAACACCTGTCATTGAGTTCCTTTGGTGTAGAGCCGGCAGAGCAGGTGAGTGTGTCTTTGAGACGGGATCTTTCCGTGTGAGTGATTGTGAGTGTAGAGGTTGTGGGCACCCAGTAGGGGATTGCAAGAGGGAGGGGAGGTGAAAAGCACGATGCAAGCCAGACGTCCCAAAAAAAACGTGACGTTTGTCCATTTGTCACCGGTATGTATATGACATTATCCCTACGGCTCCAAGTACCTCCTCAGAAGGTATTTGGACCCTCTAAAGCCACCCCAAACACCTTCTGCGAAGGTACTTGGAGCCCTAGGGTATATGACCTTCACAGCCATGTTCGATCGACCTCGTACTGACTGGATGTACCATGCCATATGTAATTGTTTCATATATAGGTGGAAATACCCACCTGAAACTGTGGTATCCCTCACCTGACTGTGCGGCGATCCATTGGGAGTGAGGGAATGAACATGAATGAACCCCCACCCTAGGGATTCAAGACTTCTCAGAAGGTGATTAGGCGCTGATATGTAGGTTTGGAGGGTCCAAGTACCTTCTGAGAAGGTACTTGGATCCCTAGGGCTAATAGCGATTCCTTTGGATGATCCATTCCCGTCCATTCCCGCATTCCTCCAAAATCGAGTCGCACAGAGGTCGGGGCCTAATCTGGCTCATGTTGCTCGGCACCTCCCCATGCTTTGTCTTGCGCAAACAAGCCGCTTGTTGCATGCTGCAACACATACCCCAACACTCCATGCGACTGGCATATGTTGCTGATCAGCCCAGGGGTGGTTCGGGCTTGGGGTCTGTTTGGCAGGGGCGGCGTATGTGAGAATGTACTATAGTTCCATTTGCCGTGATTGGGGTACAAACGGCCCAAACGGCAATGCCGCACTGAGGTGGTGACCTACGAGATGAACGGCGCCACCGAGACTCGAGAGCTTTGCGAAGGAGGCGACGTTGACGCCTCCATGGGAGGGTGAGAAATGGGTTGTGAGTGTGTTTGTTTTTTCCCTAGGGGTCCACATACCTTCTCGGAAGGTACGACTGGGCCCTCCAAGCCCACATAACAGTGCCTCCAATCACCTTCTGACAAGGTACTTTGATCCTTACAGGGTTTGTATGTGATTAGATGTCAATAGTGTTTTGTGTGTGGCCGGTTTTTTGGTTGTACTTACTTATATGGTGAATCTATTTAATGTAGGTGCTATATAACTACCTAGACCTTCCAACGGCTAAAATATTCTAGTACGATTGGGTTGTTGTATTAGTTTCTGATGCTTCGATGGAAAAAATGGTAGTTGTCAGAAACGACTGATTTTTGCTTAACGGTGTGATTTGGGTACGCTCCACAGATTTTGATCCGAGTAGCCATCACCGGCTATCACACATCTATATTTAGGGGATGACTTCCGTATTTATCAACCCATCCATCCATCAGCCATCCCATTGGACGCAGTGGAAGACGCCAGTCATCATCGACCCGGCAAAAAACCGACCTTCAAGTTTTTTGCGGCCTTCTTGATGACGATAACTGGATTAATGCCCAGCTGCCAAGTGTCTTCATTTACCTTTATCATTATATAATGAACGGCTTCGATTTCCGGTGGAATTGCAAGATGCGATGCAGGATATGTACAAAGAAATGAAAAACTGGCTACAGGGTTGCAATAAGTTCATCCTTGGTCAATGGCAGGGATAATTCGATATATAATAAATACATTGATGTCACCACGACAAATTAGGAATTGATAAAAACATCTGTCTCTTCATGCCCAGGCTGTGACCTCTGAAGACCTACATGGAGTGGAAAGCACTTAATGTTATTCTGAGGTTTCGGAGACAGAACTTGATGAAAACCCACGACCAGTTTTACCCGCAAAACGCCCGCAAAAACCCTCAAAACGCCCGCTAAAAACTCGCAAACGCCCACAAATCCCAGAAAGTAGGTCAAATGGGTTTTTGAGAAACCTCTAAATTCGGTGAATTGCAACTCTTTTGGGCTGAATGTCATGAGTAGGATTGCCTGCTCGATTTGGACAATCTTTGGTCATACGCTGTTCGGGAGAAAATGAGTGCCTATAGTCATGTTTTCCTACGAGCATGATGTCGACATGAGTTCATTTGTTAGCACAAATGCAATTATGGTTCCTTTTGCATACTCGTATATCATTACCGTATCTTGTAGTTTTGCTGCGCTCGAGCCTGCTTATAATTCTTGGAGCTCTAGGCCAATGTCTGATCGACCAGGGATTAGTGAAAGCCGCTATTTCTTAGAGGGGTATATCGACTGCCCAAGCGATGGCAAACCCAGCTGCATTTGATTTTGCCACATGTTTTGGGCAAGCATAAGAGATCATACTTTTGAACTCCCGTGAAACCGACCAATCATCATCGTCATCATCATCATCCTCATCCTCATCCATCAGGCATCCAGAGGCCACGGGGAGGGCAGTGTGTGACCATGCACGACCACTCTTTGTTTGAATCGTATGTGCTCGACCACTTTTCAACTGATCGTCACCATAAAAGTAGTACAAACCACATCGACCAAAATATTTTGGGATTTTGAAGGTCTAGGTATATACAGGTTGCTGCACTATGCCAGTGGATGAGGGGATGTAGGATCTATTAAACTGGAACTGGGTTGTATTCTTCCAGCAAGTGGGTTGCCATTTGGTGAACACAGCCGTTTCGATGGTCGCAGATCTCAGCCAAGCGGCCACATGTGTGTGTGCGCGCGCCAACAGACGGAGCTTTTTTGGCAACATCAGACGGAGCCAATGATATAATTTGTTACTACATCTCATAGACATCCAGAGAATTCCAAAGATTACTTGAAGTAGGTTTTTGGTGTTCACCTTGGCATCCAGGAATTCTGAGATCAGAGTACTGGTTTCTTCGCACAAGGAGTGAAAACGGGTTGGGCCGTGGACTCGGTGAGTCCGGCAGGAAAAGATCGGGTGGTCAGCTACAAGAACCGAGAAGAGTTCGTCCGGCTCTACTGCCACCCGGCTCGGAGGGAGCGAACTGGAAACATCGACCTGGGTCGACACGAAAGGCAGTGGATGACATGTGGCCAACGTAAAGACTGCTTGTGACTTCCAGCTGTCCGCTGGATATTCAGATGAACCTTCAGGAACCTGAATGAGCTGGTAGGTTGGTGAAAGAATTCACCACGACTGGGCAGGCTTCTGCATCTTCTGCAGCTCGTTTTCTGTTTAACACACCTGCTCCCCGTGTGTTTGCACATGCGCTGGGTCCGCTGGTCGGTGGGTCGTTCCAGCGCTCCGTTCGCGCGTCCCGGTGCGGCCCAAACGGGCGGATCCGAACCTGAGAAAGTGTGAGTGGGACTGGGGTGGGTGCCAGGAGGGTCCAGGTGCCTTCTGAAAAGGTACGACTGGCTCCCTAGGGCTAAGACACCTCCATGTCTTGGAGCCACTCACCACCCAGGCCTTTCACTTTGGTCTGTCCCATGACCTGTAAGAAGCCGTCGGGAGTGCCGTCGGGTTTCACAAGGACATCAGTTTTTGAGAGATGGGAAGGCCTGCAACATCCTGCAACCAGGCCCGATCATCAAACTGTTCCTGACAAGCAACGTTAAGTCGGACAGACCCAACCAATACGCCGTACTTCGACGAAGCTTATACGCAGCCTAGGCGAGTGGCTCTTGACTCAAAGCGTGGAGCGGCAGTTCGAACCCTTCCGCAAGGGCGCCGAACTCAGCGAACTCAGCGTTTGGAGGAAGGTGGGAGGCTCACATGTAACACAGTGTAACACCACATGCAAGTTACTAGGTGCACCATTAAAATACGTCATGGATGTTTAACAACACTTTGCTTGGTGGCGCAGGTTCAAGAAACCAGGAGCAGCTGAACGGTGATCATTCAACGCATTTTTTGCCGCCCTTCACAGGGTGGGCTGGAGCCCGCTCGAGCCCTTACACTCCGTGGAATCGAAAGGCGGTGACCATGAAATCCTCTACAAACAGGTATTAAAATAGGGAGACCTCCCAGGCAACGAGGCATTTTCCAGGGATTTCGAGGGACAGAACATCATGAACATATGAACCAATCCGAGAAAAATAACATAGACCAGTTCCCTAGTTTGGGGTTTGGATATCCCATATATATGCGATCATATGCGATCTTCTCCACGTAACCATGGTGAGGCTACCGGTGGTACCGAGGCGTGCGACGGGTCTGCGACTCGCCGCTCTTCAACGCGCTGCACAGTGCAGAGCTGGAGCTCATCGTATGTGGCCACTGGGGTTCAAACAGGACCTGGGGCAGAGGGGCAGAGGCACAGGCGCAGGCTGTGAGGTGAAAGGAGGGGAATGTGCTTAAAGATTCTATAGAGTATATATCCAGTACAGTAGCAACTGTGTTTGTATATGTTTGTATAACGGATTGTTTTCCTGAATGTAGATGGTATGCTTAGCTGCTGGAGTTTCGAGCTATCCCGGACCTATGTTGGTCCAGGAAGTCAGAACAATCAGATCTTTGAATCCCAATCGTTCGCTGCCAGTCTCGCCCGGGCTCGGCCATACATCGGTCGAGGTCGTGCCCACCTCCCACCGAAACAGCGCCCCCCGAAACAAGAAGTTGTTGCGAAAGAAACTCGTCCAGTTAGCTTAGTCAGTTCTACAAGCACAGTTATACTTCATATAGACCTTTATGCACATTCCCCTCCCACTGGAGCACCACGAAAGGCGAGCAGGCGCTGGACTTCGCCCAGCTGCGCAAGAATGCCCATTACGACGGCTACCAGGCGACAGACGAGTGCTCCATGGAGCGTTCTGGACGTGTTTGGTCCATGGCATGACTTGGTTTTGCTGAAGTTGATTTGTTATTTGCTCGATCTGGGCAAATATGCATGAGGGACATATGATTTGTTTTTTGTCCGGCTCCTTAAGCAAATCCAAGATGACTATCCTGTGTTCCTCTACCCACGGACCCACGGTAGTTGAGTGTACGGACACTCCGAATCACCACTTTTGGAGGCTATCACGGGCTATCAATAGACACCCCAATCCTGGGGCCCTGGTATGTGAGTCCATACCAAAGGTGGTGTGAAACCATGGTAGATCACGTGCCGTGTTTGGCTCACCTCACTCCTTTTTGAGAGTGAGCTTGCGGGCACAGAACACTGACAGTGCACGGAAGACGAGTTTGCTAGTAGCTTGTCAAGATGAAACAACACGTATAGACTGAATACCAGGCTCCTTCTGAAGGAACAGGGCCACCGCACAGGCGAGCGCAAGCTCGAATCCGTCCGTGCTTGGACTGGTGGTTTCTGGTGACGGCTCCGCTCCGATTCTGCTGACTGATCGACTTGTAGAGGAAGATTCCAGCTACATCGATTCCTTCTGGAAGTTGCTCATGAACTTTGACCTAGCTTCTCGGGCCGGCGCTTGGAGACGGTGGGATGCTGACGACCATTTGGGACTGTACAAGGATCTGTGCTCTCCTTTTTTTTTGCAGAACCTCCCCCATGGTTCATGTGTGTGTGTGGGTGTTTTTTTGTATGAACTTCGGTACCAAAACCGGGGGATTGTTCAAGTCCATAGACTGGCACCCGTCCATAAGCCGCCCAATGTATGCAATTGCTTTTCTATTGCTTTCCTGGCAGCCTCTGTTCCTTTCCTACTTTTGTGATGAGTTGCTTGCTCTACTTTTGGATTCTGTGGTTATTGAACGTTCTTTGCTTTACTTGTTTTCTTTTTTTTTCCGAGCAGGAAGGGAGAGAAGAATGACAGAGTTTTTTCTTATGATGCACTTGGGTTGTCCCTTCAGGTGAAAGAAGCACTTGTCCCATGTTTGTTCACCCTGTGGCCTTTGGTTAAATGTACAATTGCCTTGGGGTGATGGCGTGTGGCATGTGATGGCTCCAAAATCTCAGCCAACTCCTGCTCAAGCACTTTCGCGTTCGTAGTTTTGTTCTTGGTGAATTCTAAGATGCAATCTATCTCATGGAAAGGTTAGTTCACTAGCTCAGTAGCCTTGGGCCTAGATCTCTATACATTTCAAAGTTGGCAACAAAGATTCTGAAGACCCAGCTGCAAACGTGGCTGGGCAACATGGCTTGCGCAAAGAAGGGCAAACTGGACTCCATCGAGACCATCGTAAGTCAAAAGAAGGGGCAAGTCGGAGGAAAGTTGCAGGAGACGTTCCAGGTCCCGGAACGCCGCAGCTTCAGAACGAGAACTCGTGAGTTTTGCTGGGCAGATTTGGTCTCCGGCTTTCATGAAGCCTGCACAGACTACAAGCGAGACTGAGTAGGCCCTCACGAGGTGCCAGTGGAAATTACTCTCGGTCGCGCCCTGGCGTTGGATGACCCAATTGGCCAGGTCTATGGAGGTGAAGCTCACCACTTTCCGCTGAAACATCCAAACTACGCCTTCATCGGTGCTCGCCATCAACTTCGACGAGTACACCTTGCACTCTATAAGAAGTACAAGTACCTTGATTATGACAAGGATCTGACCATCTTCTCTTCAAATTTGTTGGCCATGACGGAGTCGGAGATGAAGACCTATGCATTGCTGATCCGTATGTTAGAGAAGTTCTATTGGAAGCGCTTGCTGCGGCCCGAGGTTGACGACGAAACTCATGGGCAGCAACGCAGTCAGGAGCAGGCCCGTCAGGTGCTGAGGAGCTATCGGCATTTTTGCCCAGTCACCTTTGCCGCCCTGAGGCAACGAGGCTTTGAGGAAAGTCTCGTGAAGATCGTAGATCAGTGGTTGCGGAGTTTCTTCTGCTTTGGTTGGGATCCCCGGCCGCAGCACATGGGAAACTTTCAGAGACTCATTAAAGTGCTGTTCAAGGTGAGAGTGGACGAGAGTGACCCTTTTCGAGATCTGCGGCGGATTTGCGTGTGCTTGCTGATGCAAAACTCGGACAAGCTCTTGGAGGCCTGCGATCAACGAGCAAACACCAGGGACTTGGAGGCGATCGCCAAGCGAATAGTGCTGGGCCGCAGCTTTTTCCAGGTGAGCATGGTCCAAAACTGGTCTTTACATGAGCAGTTAAGGGCCCGGACAGTGGCCAGGACACAAGAGCAGTGCAAGTAAAACTGTGAGTTGCGTCAGCAGTGCGTAAGCATGACTATGTTGAAGGCTTTGTGATGTTCTTTTTTGGTAATGCATTTTCATACTATAATTTACAGGATCCGCTTTGGTGAATTGTTTGCTTAGATATGGTTTTGTGCAGTTCATTTTCTGTGGCCGTGAGAGGCTTTCCAGCATTGTGCACGCACGTGGCATCATTTGATATGTGTGTTCCATCGATCTTGGCCAGAAATTACGCGAACGTGCACGTGCGCATAGGCCGCGCGTAAGCGATGCGTAAACAATTTTTTGTGTTGTGCATCCTAGTCCACAATGGCGCCCCAAAAGAAGCAATTTTGTGATATGTCGCAGAAACAGCAGCAACGGGTCGTGCAGAATGTCGCTGACAACTTCTTTTACCTATTACATAATAAGTAAGTTCATCGAGTTTATCGTTTGAGTCTTCTCTTTGAAATCCTTGCAAGAAAATGGTGTGTAAGCTGCGGCTGTGACGGCGGCTTTGCGAAAATGCAAATTCAATCAAATTCAAACAATAATAAGCACTTAAGCGTAAGCAAAGTGTGAGCTCTTACACACAAGGCTTGCAGCGGAAGCAGAAACTGTGGTCGCATAAGCACTGCGTAAGCAGACCCTTACGACCACACAAATGTGTGGTCCATGCTCAGGTGTTGGCGGAGATGAACTGCAGTGACATGGGGTTCAGCACTGGAGACTTGGTGGCCTTCCTGCCCCTGGGGGTCGTCGGTGGCTGGTGCAGCATGCTCGAGCTTGACAGCGTGCTGCCAGGCTCGGGCCTTGTGATCCCGGCGGCCTGCGCTTGCATGGGCCTGGCGGCTGTCTACAAGGAGGGCTTGGGCACGCTTGTGTCCAAGTTCTGCAAGCCTCCAAAAGATGTCATCAGGGGACCATTCTTCGTGGAAGAATCCGAAGAAAAGGATGACGAGGATGAGGCTGATGAGAGCCTGGAGGTGAACCTGGACGAGGAAATCACCTTTGAATTCCTCTTGGGCTACGGGCAGTGGCAGACCGGCTTGAGGCTCACCTACGACGCTGTCATCTCAATGGAACTGAACCCACCTCCTGCACCCACCTCCTTCGTGATGCAGCAAGCCAACTCTTACAAGTACCAACACTTCCAGAAACAAGGGGAAGTTGGTCAACAGTTTTGGGGAGGCGGAGGTTGGAACTCCAAGCGGCAAGGGTGGAATACGCAGAACTATTATTGAGAACTGCTGAGCGTAATTGGCGGACCATTTTTAGGCGCACTCCCAGGACCTCCTGCGCTTGCGAAACGCATTTCTGGAAAGTAGATTTTGAGGGGAATTGACGCAGGTCACACAACTGAACATCATTTTGTGAAGTTGCCAGGAG